GCTATTATGAATTGGAAACGACCTAAGAACGTATCTGAAATCCGCAGTTTCTTGGGCTTGGCTAGTTATTATCGACGTTTTGTTGAGGGCTTCTCGATCATTGCTTCTCCTTTGACAAAGTTGTTAAGGAAGAATGTGTTGTTTGACTGGGGTGAGGCACAACAGGAGAGCTTTGAGAAATTAAAGGCGGTTTTGACTCAATCACCGGTGTTGATTCAACCAGAGTCCGGGAAGGATTTTACAGTGTATAGTGATGCTTCACATTCAGGACTTGGTTGTGTTTTAATACAGGAAAGTAAGGTGGTGGCTTATGCATCCCGTCAGCTGCGGCCGCATGAGACTAACTATCCTACTCACGATTTAGAGTTGGCAGCAGTAATTTTTGCCTTGAAGATTTGGAGACACTATCTTTATGGAGAGAAGTGTTACATTTTCACAGATCATAAGAGCTTAAAGTATCTTCTGAACCAGAAGGAACTTAATTTGAGACAGCGTCGCTGGTTAGAGCTTCTAAAGGATTATGATTGCGTGATTGATTACCACCCTGGTAAAGCTAACATTGTAGCAGATGCTTTGAGTCGAAAGACGATATCGGAGTTGAGGTCTTTAATGGCCAAGATGAATTTATATGACGATGGCACTTTGTTAGCAGAATTGCAAGTTAAGCCGACCTTGGTTGATGAGATCAAAGCTAAGCAGCCCCTTGATAGCTCCTTGCTTTCCATCTTTGAGCAAGTAGAGTAGGGGACAAACTCAGATTACGCAATTGATCAGGATGAAGTTTTATGCTTTAAAGGTAGATATTGTGTGCCTGATGATGCTGAGTTGAGGCAGACTATCCTTATTGAGGCTCATAGTAGTCCATATGCTATGCACCCCGGAGGAGATAAGATGTACCGGAATTTGAGAGAGAGGTATTATTGGATTGGTATGAAGAAAGACATATCTGACTTTGTGGCTAGGTGTTTGACTTGTCAGCAAGTTAAGGCAGAACATCAATATCCATTAGGTTTGTTACAGCCTATCAAGATTCCTGAATGGAAATGAGAGCGTATTACTATGGATTTTGTTACTGGCTTGCCTATGACTCCTTCGAAAAAAGATTCAGTTTGGGTGATTGTTAACAGGCTTACAAAGTCAGCTCACTTCATTCCTGTGCGAGTAAATTATACTTTGGATAAGCTGGCAAGATTGTATATTTCAGAGATTGTCAGATTGCATGGTGTTCCATTGTCTATTATTTCTGATCGAGATCCGAGATTTACTTCGAGATTTTGAAAGGCGTTACATACGGCTTTGGGAACAAGATTGGATTATAGTACATCCTTTCATCCACAAACTGATGGTCAATCTGAGAGAGTAATTCAGATTCTGGAGGATATGTTGCGGGGTTGCGTAATCGATTTTCATGGTAGTTGGGAGAACCTTTTGCCGTTGGCTGAATTTGCTTACAATAACAGTTATCAGACCAGCATTCGTATGGCACCCTATGAAGCGCTCTATGGGCGTAAATGTCGCACTCCGATCTGTTGGACTGAGTTGCGTGATAGGAAAACGTTGGGACCTGAGTTAGTGCGAGAGACGGAGGACACAGTCAGATTAATCCGTGACCGTCTGAAAGAGGCATTTGATAGGCAGAAATCTTATGCAGATCAAAGAAGGAAGGATATACAGTTTGAAGTGGGAGATCGGGTCTTTTTGAAAGTTTCACCCTGGAAGAAAGTATTGAGATTCGGGCGTAAGGGTAAATTGAGTCCAAGATTTATTGGACCATTTCGTATCTTGAAGAGGGTAGGACCTGTTGCATATCAGCTTGAGTTGCCTTCTGAGCTAAGTCGTATTCATGATGTCTTTCATGTATCAATGTTGAGGAGATACCGTCCAGATCCAGGTCACATTATTCAGGTTGAAGAAGTAGAGCTGAGACCTGATTTGTCATATGAAGAGGAGCCCATTCAGATCTTGGAGACAGATGAACGAGTTCTTCGGAATAGACGAATTCCAATGGTCAAAGTTCAGTGGAGTAATCGAGGCCCCTCAGAAGCTACTTGGGAGACATTGGAGTCAATGGAGGCTCAGTTTCCTCAACTATTCTCATAAGGTAAATTTCGAGGACGAAATTTCTTGTAGAGGGGGAGAATTGTAACAACCCGATTTTCAAAATAATATTTAATTGAAATTGGAGGGTTTAATTGTGAAAATTTAGCGAAAATTTGGGACTGAATTGAAAGATTTTAAAACTTGGAGCTTGTTTTAAAGTTAAAGAAAATTCAGGGACCAAGCCCTGAATTTAACCTTGGAGTGTCGGCAGGCAATTGTTATATGCGTGATTTCTGTTTTGAAAAACAGAAATCAATTTCACAAATCCTTCCTCACGCACACAACTTCCAAACTCGATTCCGACGTCGTTCGAATTCCGATCGTTGTTTTGAAACCACCGTTGTGTTCATCATCGAGCGAGGAGCAAACCCTTCAAATTAATTGAAGCGAAACGCGGCCAAACATCGGGAATTTCCAGTCAAAGTAGCGACGGTTTTGTTAGCTCTATCGCCGAGAAAATCTTAAATTCACCGCTGATCGTTGCTCCGTTTACGACACCTCCCGCACCATCGTGTTCCTTGTGCCGTTTTGAGTTCACCAGTGTCAACCTTGTCCGCCGTAGACGGCGGCGCATGAGGAGGTGGTGCAGTCAAAGATACGGCAGATTTGAAATCAAGCTCTCCGCCGTTCAAAAATTTGAACCGATCGTTGTAAGTATCTCGAAATCGCTCAAAATAATTTTTAGAAATTTTTCCGGGATTTTTAGGGCCCCGGAGGACGCCTCACGCGCCACACGCGCCGCCGCAGGGCGAGTGGCTGCTGGGAACCGGTTTAACCGATTTTCAACCGGTTCTGACCTGTTTGACCGGTTTCAACCGGTTCGAACCGGTTTGACCGGTCTGATCCGGTTTGACCGGTCCGACCCGACCCGACCCGACCGTTGACCAGACCCGACCGTTAACCCGACCCGACCGGACCGTTGACCGTTGACTTTCTTTGACCAAAACTTAAAATGGCTTTGACCGAGCATTAAACGACCGTTAATATTTTCCGAGTATACCTATCCTGATAGTTTTCGACGTGCCAAATCCATTTCCACTGTCCGTTTTGTCAAATTCGAACCTGAATGACTCCAAATCGATGGTCAAAGTAGTTGACTTTGACTTTGACCAAGAATCTGAATTTTCGAAAAGTCATATTTTATGTTTTTCGACGTCCTGATTTCGATTCCGCAATTCGTTTGGCCAAATTCAGACTCAAAATACCCCAAATTGATAGTCAAACCCGAAAAATGCTTATATACTTAAGAAGTCTAGTTTTGAACAATTAAATAGGATTTGGGACTGATAGATTAATATTGTTTGAAGGTACAAGAGACTCTCCGGATCGTTCGACAACTCAACCCAGCTCTTCTAGATCAGTTAAACCACGTGTGCCATTATTCACGCGTTCAAAAACGGTAGCAGAGCGTGGTGAAACCAGCAATCAGTAGATTTTCTATTTTAACCTATTGTCGAGGAGTGTTCCCTACTTATTACTGAACTGTTTTATTGGTTTTAATATATGGTACACCGAATTCATTGGTTATTGTTTTATGGATGCACCAATTTAATGTGACAATTTATGGAATATGGCTGCTATCTAATTTTTGTTTTGAAATGGTATATGATTACCATGTTTTTGGATTTATGGAATTTATGTCACGGTGCAATTGAATTTTGGAATTGAATTACGATGGAATAGCTCTGATCAAGCTAAATGGGCCTAATGTGACTCTTGAGGGCCCCAAGATGTTTCATTAGGTCGGCTTTCCTTTGCTGTGTGCTTTGGTAAGCTATATGGACTTATTGACTTGGGCTTAAGGATACAAGCTTCAGAGCCTATCCTTAAGTCGGCTTTCTTTTTGCTATGTGCATAAAGTAAGCTATATGGAAAATAATTTTGAGAACTACTGATGGTGTACCAGAAAAGGGTTTAAACTATGATTTTCAAAAGTTAAACTCTTTTACGAATTTGTGAGATTACTGGACTATGATTTGTACCTATTGACATTTTATGGAAATGTTGGGACACAGTGAGCCTAGCTCACCTTTTGAAAATGTTTTCCCCCTTTCAGATACTGTTGGTTAGATACCTCGGTTCGAGCACTTGGAGGATCAACATATCTCTTGAAGTAAATCAGATTGTAATGTTTTTATCTTGCAAGTGGACTTTATTTTGGTGACATGGACCTTATTTTAAATATCGGATTTTATAATGATGACTCTTTTGCTAGTACTGCTCGGTTTATTATGATTTTGAATTTGAAGACATGTTTTAAATTAAATTATTATTTATTGGTACTATATTTACGAGTTGGATTTTGATAGTATAATTTGTTTATAATTTCATGTTATTTATAATGTGATTTTATATTGATAGAATAACGATTTCGGAAAATGTCTTTAATAATCATAATGTGATCCACTAGACTTAGTCGAAACGCATAGGTCAGGTCTAGGGTGTTACACTTAGCATCACTAATATCACCTTTGTTGGCCTTGAATACCCTCAAGTTAGCTTATTCCTCAAATATTTGGATTTAAAATCAACCTTAACTTGTCTCAGAGGCTCAAACATACTTCTAAACCTAAAGCTATTCTAAACTATTTTTTATACGTTGACTCGAAAATTCAGATCATCACAAAATTATTTGTGGCTTGAAGTGCTTGAAAACGAAAAGAATGTGGAAAAAGATATTCCTTCATTTGGATTTTCAGATAAAAAGAAATATTATTTAAGAAGTATTGTACTTGCAGTATTAAATGACAAATTTAAAAACAAATAGAGTGTAAAAGAAAATGAAGATGAATAACATTAAATTATTAAACAATTATAAAAAAGTTATCAAATTATTAATGTATAATAATAAATTATTATTAAGTTATCTATTAAATAATTAACAATTAAATTTAGACAAAATGGTACTAAAGGTCTCTATACTTCTAAAAAAAATTAATGTGGTCATTGCGTATTTTTTTACACTAAATGTGGCATTTCAACTAAAAATAAAATCAATGTAGTCTTTTAACCAACGTTATTCGTCGTAATTGATGGAACCATTAATTTCTACTGACGTGACACGTTAACCATGCTACATCCTTTCATTTATTGATTACTCCACGTTGACTAGGTTTAAAATGACGACTTAAAAATAAATTAATTAAAAAAAAGATAAATAAAAAAAAAACGTAATGAGATTATAATGATCTTCGTTGAGATCTCCATATAGATCTCCTCATCTAGATCTTCGTTCAGAAATGCAGTCTTTACATCCATTTGATGTACTTGCAACATGTGAATGGAGGCTTGTGCAAATAATGCACAGATCGTTGAGATTTTCGTTATGAGAGAATATGTATCGAATAAGTCTAAGCCAAAATTTGAGTGAACCCTTTGACAACTAGTATTGTCTTGTACTGGTAGATTGGACCATCTGGTCTGAGTTTCTTTCAGAAGACACATTTGTCGCTGATTGGTTTAAATCTTTTAGGTAAGTCAACCAATTCTTGTCGCTGAAGTTTCATGAATTATGCCATTCTTTTCATGAATTATGCCATTCTTTTCACAAATATCTTTTAAGAAATTAGATCCATATTCACCACCTCTATCAGATCTAACCCGTTTGATTCTCCTATCTAATTGATTTTCTACTTCTGCCTTATAAATAAGAAAGAAGTTTTCAGCTTCATCTTTAGTTCTTAGGAGAAAAACTTTTGTATATCTTGAATAATCATCTACAAAAGTTATGTAGTAGTGTTTTCCTCCTTTACTTTCAGTGTTTCTAAAATCTGCTAGATCAGTATGAATGAGTTCTAATAGTTCAGTCTTTCTATTAGAAACAGTCTTAAAGTGAGGTCTAGTATGCTTAGCTTCTACACAAATCTCACATTTGTTAAAGCTAGTTGTGTCTAGTTTAGGCAGAACATTCATATTCATTAATTTCTTTAAAGCATGAATATTCACATGTCCTAATCTAGCATGCCACATATCAATGGATTCAACAATATAAACAGAAGTGGTAGCTTTATTTTCATTAAATTGAGTTTCTATGACAAATAAACCATTGCTTAAAAACCCTTTCCCCACATAATCACCATATCGGGAAAGTACAAGTTTATCTGCCTCAAAAACTAACTTAATGCCTGCCTTATTCAGAAGCCCACCACTTATCAAATTTCTACGCAAGGTAGGTACATACAGAACAATATTTAAAGCCAGAGTTTTACCAGAAGTCAGCTTGAGTAAAACCTTGCCTTTGCCTAGCACTTCAGAACTGCTAGAGTTCCCCATGTACACACGTTCACCAGTGTTCCCATCCTCGAACTCGGTGAAAAACTCATTCCTTGCGCAGAAATGCTTCGAAGCGCCAGTGTCAACTACCCATTCTGAACTGTTCTCCACCAGATTAACTTCTGAGACCACCACAGCAATGATCTCATCATCTTCTTCTACAACATGCATCTGTGGCTTGTTGTCATTCTGGCGGTCTGATCGGTGTTGGCATTGGTAAGCTTTGTGGCTGGTTAAACCACATGCATAACACTTGAACGTCTTTCTTTCCGGTTTGGCCTTTCCTGACTTCTTGAAGTTGGTAGCCTTCTGTGGTTTCGTCTTCTTGTCTTGATTCCCACGTTTCATGATCTTCTTAAATTTAGACTCAACCAAGTTAGCTTTAAAAGATAAATTACTCATAGAATTAGTAAGCTTATCTTTTAAACGGTTGGCTTCTTCAATCTTCATATGGCCCACAAGTTCTTCAAGCGAAATATCTCTCTTCTTATGCTTAAGAGAGTTGCGGTAGTCAGACCATGACTTGGCCAGCTTCTCAATGAGTACATTGACTTGCAACACCTCACACATTTGCATCCCTTCAGTGATGATGTCAGCGACTAAGTTCTCATAGTCATGTACTTGATCTATTATTGTCTTGTCGTCTGTCATCTGGAATTTGAGCCATTCACCAACAACGTACTTCTTGATGCCCGTATTGTCCGCACCATACTTTTTGTCGAGAGTGTCCCATATTGCCTTGGCACTCCTTTCTCTAAGGAATATATCAAATAGTTTATTTGACATGTGGTTGAGCAGATGTCCTCGCACCGTCTTGTTGTCTTTCTCGTATTTCTCGTAGGTAGCGAGAGCGGCGGCGGCGGTTGCTAAGGCATCATTATTGAGGACCACACCCGTATCAATACCGACAGCTGGGGTTGGCGGCATGGTAGGTGGTGGCTTGAGCAACACGTAGTCAAGATCAAGCTGCTCGAAGAATATCAGGATTCTTTGGGATCACCTTCTATAATTCTTTCCATCAAGTGCATCGAGCTTGGAAAGATCGGGGATTAGTTTGCTCAAAGGTGTTGTCATGATTGCAGTATATGAATTTCATTTCTAAATTGTTGGATATATGAACTGCAAAACTACACCGTTAGCATTGACTGGAAATATAAACAGTAATTAAAAGGAATAAATTCGTAAACCGTGTCGTGGTAAAAACCATTGCCTTAGAAATGAATTCGCCCCGATGTGTGTAATCGCTGCAGTAGGCGGACCGTCCCCCGAGGTTAACACGGTCGCTCCGAATTTCGTACACCCAAAACCGGAGTGGACTGCTGGTGGTATTGCTCTTCTGATTGGAAAGCACTCAGAGAGAACTCACAGAGAGAATTGTAGAAAACACTTTTGTAAGTGAATTGTAAATGTTTGAGAGTGAGTTGAGAAGCTGAATATAGCACTCTATTTATAGGCTAGAAATAGGGTTAAAATCGTCCATAAAATTTCAGGATTAAATCTCTTCTTTTGTAACAGTTGAAACGTCTAGATGAACCTGACTCAAAAATAGTCCATGTTCATTGCATCATTGTTCAGCGGTTATAACTCCCGAAATTATATCATGTAACCCATGAAATTAAATCAAATAACTCTTGATATTAACAGCTTGTCTCCTCTGTACAAAGCTGGAAATCAGTCCAGATACATCTTAACGTTTTTGATTTAATTTAGGAAAAGCTGTTTAATTTCTCATAAACCAGCTGTTATCATTTGAAATTAAACAGTCCTCAGCAGCCTATAAATATCAGTTGAAATCTTTCACATTTTCCCATTTGTTTTTTTAAAAGAGAAATTCCTCAAGAATTTTTTCTAAAAAAATAGTATCCGCGCGGACGTGTCGAAGACACGTATTACCACGACCACGACCATGACCACGAGCCGAGCCGTGCCGTGCCGAGCCGAGACAGACAGACGGCGGCAGCGGTGCGCGAGAGTCCCCCTTGTTCTCTATCACTCAACAAGGAATTGGGAAAGTCAAACCTTAAATACTATTCCCAATAGTATTTCCAATACTATGTGGGATTTAACATTACTAACAAAGAAAGCTCAAAGTCGGAACCTCACATGACATCTCCATAAGCTTGTAACACAATCAAATCTTCACTACTTAAGTAGAACAAGATGTAATTATCACCGGGTCTTAAAATGGGTTGTAATGAGGCTTAGATAAAGGTTATTCATGCATGTATTTATTTTATTGTTATAAAACGATTCTGAGTGGAGATTTCGCATAAAGTGCTTTTTTGAGGCTTATAATGATTTACTTCCCCTTTGTTCTAGATACGTACTTACTCAGAGTGGGTAATATATGGAGAGTATGATTGGCCTCCCAGATGTTGCAAATGCCAAGCTGTGCTTGAGGAAGGGGATGGCTCTGTACCCACTCGGTTGGGTTGCTTACTTATGTGTTTATGCTGATGTAGATGCTAGATACTGCCTTTTCTTTGTGCAAAACAGCATGTTAAACTTGTGCTGTATGATCTTACATTTTTTATTTGCTACTTTAGATGTCATACATACAAATTGCTTGGTTTCACATATCAAAAGTTTTCCGCCGCACACTGCACCTGCTGGATATGCATGTCCTTCTTGTTCAACATCTGTAAGTTCTCAAAATCTGTTTATTTTCAGCATGAATCAGATCTTTCATGCCCAGAAGGTTCTGTTTGTATTGTTTGAAGTGATCGATATATCATATATGTTCTCAGAAATGATGTTGACAATGTTCTTGAACCTTTCAAGTAGTTGGAAGCATCTAGGTGCTAGATATGTACATGTTTCAAATGACGGATAGAGATTGTTAACAGTATAAAAACTACTGCCATAATTGGAACCTCTCATTTAAGTACTTTCTTTTTATTTTTTTGGGATAAGCAATTTTATTTCATCCAAAAAGAGAGAAAAATTTTGCAAGATATTACTACTTTACAGTTGAAGGTGATGTTAGCCTCTCATTTAGGTTGCTAATGGAGAAAAACTTCTCTGCTGATGTTTCTGATATTCCAGTAACTTCATTTGTTTGAATTATTTCAATGGACTCAAGACCACATGATTTTCTTTTGGCATTCATCAATTATTTACTTTATGCTTGTATTGTAGCGGTTAGGTGAAATGATATTGGTTATTTCTTCTTTGACTTGTCTCATTTTGCAATGGTTTTCCCAGATATGGCCTCCCAAGAGTGTTAAAGATTCAGCATCTCGTCTTCATTCACTGCTGAAGGAGGCTATTATGCAGGTGAATTCATGCTTGATTTGGGCTGTTACAAAGAATGGCTACTCATTCTAATGTAAAATGAACTTTAGATTTTTATTTTTATTTTTTTGTTTTCCATATTTTGATTATCAGGGTATTCTTCCACTTTTCCTTATTTGCTTCTTATCATATTTGACCATGGGTGCTTTGGAGTCCTACTCTTGCCACTTGCCAGTTGTAAATTGTAATGCAGTTATCCTTTTCAGCATGTGCTATTCAAGCTTGAGTTCTCCTTTCAATGGTTAGCATTAAAGTTACCGGATTAAACTATTCCCTGGTAGAGGTTTCTGAAGTGGATGGAATTCATTCTGCTAGGAAAGCTTGACCTATCAAATTCAATATTCAGCATTCAGCTGAACCAACTACTTCCAATGAATGTTATTGTAAAATTTTGGCCATGCATGTATGCTATGGCCAAACCTGCTCTTTCCTTGTTCACCAAGAGTATTGAACTGCAGGGAAGTTACTGAAATCTCGTTTTCTAAGCTATTTCAAGCTTCTAATATTCAACTTTAGATACTAGAATGTCATTGATCTCAGTATTTGGGGTGCCTGCTCAATCTTCTTATGTTTCAAACTGCTGAAGATCATCAGTTGCCTCTGAAATTAACCTCTGAATACGTGTGAATCATATGCAAGTAGTTGTGATTTGTGAAAGAAAAAGTGATTTTGTTTGATTGGAGTTTTGGCTTGCCCTATTGCAGATTTATATTGTAGTCTCCTTTTTAGGATGAATGCAGCGTGTATTCTTATCACATTGTGCATAAATAAAAGTTAAATGACTTGACTTGATATTGCACAGACTGGCATGGAGAAGAATTTGTTTGGAAATCATCCTGTTTCTTTGCCTACAACAGATCCCCGTGGTCCTCCACCTGCATTTGCTTCAGTTGCCGGAGTGTATATATAGGCCTGTTTATCCTGCTTCTTTTTCCAGGATCAGATCGAAATCCGACGAAAATTTGACAACTATTTTCTTTAATGGATTCGATGGAAGCCATTTTGGAAGATCATTGGAGTTGTCTCAGTGGGATGTATACCACTGATCAGGAAGCTGATTTCATGGCTCAATTGCTTAGCAACTGTCCCCTAACTGATGATGGTCGGCTCGAACTCGATCCGGGATCGAACACGAAGATCCCATCGTCTTTTTGGCCTGTGAACGTGGACATGACAATGGCTGATGCTACTGTTTCATCCTGTTCTTCGGATATGAGTAGTTATAGTCCTACTGCTAGTAGTGTTCTTTTTTCGTCTTCGTCTTCGTCGAGCCAAGAGAGGTTTTACCTGAGTGATTCTCACCCTGTTTTTGTAGCCGATAATGGCACTATTTCGATTTATTTTTGTATGGAAGATTGAAAGAACACGAGTTCGTTTCTCGTTGATGTCGATGATTGTTTAATCATGGAAGAACCTGTTGTTTCTGATAAGATTTCGGTACCGATAGTGACGGAGAAGAAATGCAACAATGTAGCGGAGAATTCGAAGAAACGATCTCGGACTAGTTCGGGAGACGTGAGTTGCGAAAACACAAATGCATCTTTCTTTCTCTGTTTTTCTCCTGCAGCACTTTTGTTGATCATAATTTTGTTTACCGGTACAGATTCAAAGGACCAGGAGAAATGCAAGGTCAAAGAAGAACGTTGACGAGGACGGTGGTAATGCTGGTCTCAACTGGCAAAGCTGGGCCAGTTGCTCATCCGATGATGACTCGAATGCCTCTCTAGAATCGAATTCGGGTTCAAAGGGCAATGCAGCACTAAATTTGAATGGGAAAACAAGAGCCAATAGGGGAGCTGCCACTGATCCTCAAAGCCTTTATTCAAGGGTAAGTAACTAAGTATTCACCATTAACTCTATCAAGCATTGGGGAAGATTAAATCGAAAATCGACCGATTAATCGATCTATCTTCTTATCTATCTTTGCAGAAAAGAAGGGAAAGAATCAACGAAAGGCTGAGAATTTTACAGAATCTTGTCCCCAATGGAACAAAGGTTGATATTAGTACAATGCTTGAAGAAGCTGTCCAACATGTCAAGTTTTTGCAGCTGCAGATTAAGCTGTTGAGTTCCAATGATCTATGGATGTACGCACCCATTGCTTACAACGGAATGGATATCGGAATCGATCTCGAGGTTGAGACAGCAAAGAGATCGTAGAAAGATGTTGTCGGAGGTGTGGGGACTGCAGACCATCTCGGTCGGGAGCATAGGGCTATCTGCAAATTCTCTAAATCGAAACTAGTCATTGCCGTTTTGTAATGGATTTATTTATTGAAAATCTTGAGTTGTAATCAATAATTTACCACAAAATCGTTATCAAATTTGTCCATTTTCTTTCTTGTAATCACATAAAATACAATGTAGTTAGTGAAGCAGATCATTTTAGCAACAAATAGCCATTTATTGTTCCATATATATTTTACATATCAATGAAATCCATGCTTTAAACGCAATTGAATAAATTTGGAACAAGAACAGCGTTACAACTCTCTGTAAAACAATGGAATTCTGTCTTCTTGCTCAATTGCTCATATGATTCGGAACTTCATCGTGGCCATCCAGAGGCATGTTTTGTGCCATTATAGCCCTAATCTCAGAATTCATGTATGACTGCAAAAGTAATAAAACACATGACCATTAGGCGGAATCCAGTTCGATAAGTTAAGTTCATAGGAGGATGTCAATCCAATCGCCTCGATTCCAAGTACCGAATATAATCACTTACCCTTAATCTGTATTTGTATATGAGATATGCCCCGCCACCGGACATTGCCAAGCCGATTAAAATGACCCAAGTGGCACCCCATGATGCTCTTACTTCAGTACCGGTCTTACCTGGGTAGTGCAAGGAGTTGATATGAAAACACTAACCATAAATCATATGTTTCTAAGATATGGCTTCAAGATACAAATCCCTGATCCAAAACTCACTTATGCAGGCACCATGGTAACATATACCCCTAGTTCCTTTTCCCAACTAGAGAATTCACAACAAATACAAGAAAACAGTACTGAACCATAAATAACTAGGCAGGGAGAATTACTTGAGCATCTTGTTCTTCTTTCAGAACAGGATTATCTGCATCCGCATTAGTGTCTCCCATACACTTTTCAATCCTTTTAACATCAAGCCCTGAATGAATGACAAAACATCATGATTCAGTCATAAAAATAAGCTAAAAAAGTGGATTCTTTTATTAACCATTTACCAAGTGCTCTCATAACAACACCTGCACATTCCTTGTTGTATCTTTTCTTCATCATGGGGCATCTTATATGGAAATCCGTCACATAGTCCCACCACAACCAAGGCTTATTGGTCTCGTTAGCCACTCTGAACACACATAGCTTCCGTAAATTCTCGATAATTACATCTTTCCCTTCATACCCCGAGCTAAAATCTTGTTCGGGATCAGGTGCACAATATCTTCCATAGTTGATGCACTAAGATTTACACTGGAGGCAATACCAGCTTATATAATGAGGCCTGAATTGAGTATAGCAACCTTTCTCAAGTATTTGTGCAGCACCCTTGAAATCCTTCAAGAATTTCATCAGAATCCTACATTTAATCCCACATTCATCGTTGCTGTTGGTCCAAAGCTCATATTCAACACGATCATCAGGATGTGGAACAGCCTCCGCCAATGATTAACATTGACAATATCTCCACCACTTATTGTTTTCTTTAGAGTTTGACCAAAAATTTTATCAATAAGAGCGGATGGAATCGTTATGTTTTCGATGTATTTAGCAGATGATCTGTTCTCTTCAGGCTTGTCCATGGTGATCAATGCTTCTGAAATATCATCTGCAACAAGAACTGCAGAAGCACCAGCCTGCTTTGCATTCCAAACCTTTAGAGCAAAGAAACAATCTGGGAAAATAAATAAAAAAAGAATCATAAACACTAAAATTATAGCTAAAGAAACTCAAAATTATGGAATATGAAGAAAAGGGTACCTCCACGATCGATCAAAACGAAAGTGGGAAGAGAACCGGGATTGGATTTGAAGGAAATCCCAGATTCATGGAAGCTTTCACAACCCTTTTTGTTCTTCTTGGGGTAAACCACAACTCCGGCTAAGGTTCCGCCGTATTGAGGTATCCCGAAGTTTCCGATTGCGGTGTCGTGGGTTCCCCTAATCTTCTCCAATGAAGTAACCCTCAAGCTGTTCTTTTCTACCACGAATCTTGCGTAACAAGTCATTAACAAAGAAAACAGTGTAAACCATTGGAGAAGATGACATTTCTGTAGCTCCATCTCTTGCTTTTTTTTGTTTGACACGTGGAATTTTTCTGGGAATTGCGTGAATCAGTTTTTAAGGAATTGAAGAAGAGAAGGAAGAAGATGGTGTAAGAACAAACATACGAGAAAGTGAGAAGTTATATTTTTATTCATGGAAGAATGCAACTTTTACTACTTGAACTTGACAAAAGCTTTTAATTTAGTCCCTATATATTTTCTACCCTTGTTGATATATGAATTGGTTTTTAATCATTTTGATGACATGGCACCCTAATATTGTACCTTATGATATAATCTATAGTCTTACATCGTCGTCATAAGAACTAAAAATGAAAACATGCTAAATTTATAGATTAATATGGACAGAAATTTAAAGACTAAATTGAAAAAAAGCTAACAAGTATAGGGACTAAATATTAATTGTTCCTTTCATTCAACACATTCGTAAAAATAGAATATAATTTATTAGTTATGTACATACTACACATGCACACGTGGACTTAAAAATATAAAGGTTTTATTTAATTTTTTTATTTTCATGTTCGAATTAACATTTCGTGACATTTTATTCTAAAAATCATTTAATTCAATAAAAATGTGTCACATATTAATTTTTTATTGAAATATCTTAATATATAAGATAAATTAATAAGTTGAATATCAAAATAAAACAAAAAAAAAGTACTAAAATGAAAAAAAAAGTTCAAGGATCAAACTTGAACTAAACTAAATAAAAGGGTAATAATGAAATTAAAATATTTTATATCTTAGAATCAATATCAAATTAATATTTAATATATCGACATATATAATTTTATTTTATGTATGGTTAGTGACCTAAATTATAACATATTTAAATATATTTCATTTTACGTTTTCTTATATAATAATTTTGATTTATTTGGTGATGAATTACGTGTACTGTAATCTTCAACCCTACCCTTTGATTTGGAGTTGCATAATTCTATACTAACCTTACAAATCAAGGCAAGTAAGATGTATATTCTCTGTCTCATATTTTATGAAAAGTAAAAAGCTAATTTAACTGATAAAAATATATAAATTTGTTATACTTTTACATAAAATTATTTGAAACATTAATTTTTCTAATATTTATAAATAAATTAACAATTATTAATTTCTCAATTAGTGTTTTAATAGTATCATTATACCCTTTTTGAAAAATATTGTTATAAAATAATGAACGATATCAATATACGAATATAGTGTTAATTTAGAATTAAATATTTATTGGTTTAAATTTGTGTAATTAAATCTATTTCTTCAATTTTTTTAGGTTAAATACTTATTAAATTTCTGTTAGTTTAATAATATTTTATAGTAATTGGATCATGTCCGGACAGTGAAACAAAAGAAGAGTTCAAAGGGCATGTATGTTGAAGTAATCAGGACTAGATACATTCAAATACACCACAGCATTTGGCAATTTCTTTCATTATTCCACTTGAAAAGATAGGAGTTAGGACCCTATCTGGAACTGTAAGCACATGGCTTATGCTCATTCATGATGATACTCTCAGTTCATTTGAGATCAGTTTTGACCATTTCTTAATGTTACACAGTGAAAATTTCAACTACCCCAGATTCTCAAACTACTGTATATATAGTTGCCATCACGTTATACATGACCTGATCTCCTTTTGCTTTCTCTAGGAACATGGAACACATAAACAAAATTACCACCATTATCATCATCACCATCTTGCTCACGGTTCTTCGTTTTTCCATCCCGGTTCACTCTCGCGAGCTGGCCGGCTCACCGTCACCTTCTCCTTCTCCGGTCGGTACATTCCACGGTCACATTAATAGTGATTTCATGTTCTTAGTTTACTGTTTATGTAACGTTCTTTGAGTGCTTTATATCGATATGCAGGGAAGTCCGGGGATGATTGATGGAATTAGAAGGCCTGGATCATTTCCGGCTTCCTGTCATGCAAAGTGCAAGCAGTGTGAGCCATGTATGCTGATCGGAATACCGATTCGAGCGGTGGAGTCAGAAGAGAACGAGTACTACCCTCAAGTTTGGCAATGCATGTGCCAAGAAAATATATACCCGCCGTAATTCTAGGTTTTTAACAAGGTTACGTTGTTCTGTAATACCAGTATATTACTTTTATATAACTGCATTACTTAAACTATATATTTAATTAGTGTGACATTTGCCGAGTGTTTTGTTTGCTTCAAATGATAATTAAAATGTAGAGTAATAAACAATTTTCACATGAAAGAATGTTAGTGTAAGTTAAACATTAAGAGAATGTTCTTACCTGGCACTATGGGAACAGAATTGATCTCTAATTTTCACATGATTCGTCTCTCATCGGGGTTATGAACAGAACCGAGCTTTTGTTCTTGAGAGACTCCATGTCCAGTCACCCTGCCTGAAAATGTATTTAAGAAATCATATCGTCATTTCATTAATACATAAATCGATGAATCATGGATGGACGCATGATTTCATTAATACAGAAATGCAATGCTGAAATCCTTTACCTTATGAAGGGAGGATGGTCAGAGATGATTTTAACGGATGGGATGTGAGCCATCTTGGGCCAATCTTCGCCTCTCTCCTTCATACACCGCCTTTCCAGATGCGGACATCCTTCGATTCTCAGCAATTGCAGTGCCGTGAGGCTCCCTACACCTTGGGGCAATGACATCAAACTAGAACAATTCCAAATTTCCAATGTTGAAGGCAAGGCAAGGTGTTGGATACTGTTGAATAATCGGGTAAAGAAAACGGAAAGAACACAAGAATTTTAACGAGGTTCAACAATATGCTTACGTCCTCGGTGCCCTAGGCGGAGCTAGAATTTTATTTAATATCTCATAGGTTTAGGTTACATCTCCTTTTATAATAAATAAACCCTGATACATATTTACAAAAATAACTTTGTACCATACCGCGGGGCCGCAGCCCCTGCACCCCCAACCCACATAATCACAACCCCCACTACAAGACTTTCTAAAAAGGACAGATAATGTTCGCTCACTCCACTCCATCCTCTGTCCTCTTTACTGGTATATTTATGAGTCATACCTAACAAATCTCTACCTTGGAGAATATCCTTCCCCTTAGGAAACATTCAATGTGGGTTGGGTTACCTTACTTTTTTAACAACTCGAAACATTCAACAAGTCCAAGCAATGCATGAACTTGTCTGTCGTAACTGGCTTGGTGAACATATCAGCGGCATTCTCATCAGTATGTACCTTCTGGAAAAAAATCTCTCCAGATGCAATCAACTCTCTGATCTTGTGAAACTTTACATCAATATGCTTAGTTCTAGCACGACATACCTGATTCTTAGCCAAGTGAATAGTACTTTGATTGTCACAAAGCAACTAAACTCCACCTTGCTAAACACCCAACTCCTTCACTAAACCAGTAAGCCATAAAGCTTCTTTTGCAACTTCAACCGCTACCATGTATTCAACTTCAGTTGTAGATAATGACACAACAGATTGAACAGTAGACTTCCAACAAATATGCCCTCCACCAAGAGTAAAGACATACCCTGTCGTAGATCTTCTATTATCCAACTCACCCACATAGTCTGAATCCACATATCCTACAACCAAAGGATTATCCCGCTGATTACCAAAAACAATTCCATGTCCCACAATACCCTTTAAGTACCTAAAGATCCACTTGACTGCTTCCCAATGTTGCTTACCAGGTTTAGACATGTACTTACAAACTTGACTAACATCATGAGTTAAATCAGAACGAGTACATATCATTGCATACATCAAGCAGCCAACAACATTAGAATACGAAACTTTTTCCATATCTTCAGCTTCCTTATCTGTCTTAGGGCACTGTTCTGATGAGAGCTTAAAGTGATTCGCCAATGGAGTCTCACTGGTTTTGCGCTGCTCATCGCAAACCTTTTTAGCATTTTCTTAACATAACCCCGTTGAGATAACCACAGTTTCCTTGAGTCTCTGTCCCTGTAAATTTCCATTCCAAGAATTTTCTTTGCAGCACCTAAATCTTTCACATCAAATTTCTGACTCAATAAAGTTTTCAAACCGATAACATCACCATGTTCTTCGCAGCAATTAACATATCATCAACATACAATAACAGAAAAATAAAAGAACCATCATCAAGGCTCTTAACATAGACACAACAATCATACTCACATCGCTTGTAGCCAATCTTGATCATTTAGGAGTCAAACCATTTGTACCATTGTCTCGGAGACTATTTCAACTCGTACAAAGACTTCTTCAATCTGCAAACTAAATGTTCATTTCCAGGTTGAGTGAAACCTTCATGCTGATGCATGTAGATCTACTCCTCTAAATCACTATGCAAAAAAGTAATTTTAACATCCATCTACTCTAAATGCAAATCCCAACTAGCCACCAATGCAAGTACTGCTCGGATTGAAGTGTGCTTGACCACAGGAGAAAAAATTTCATCATAATCAACTCCTTTCTACTGTGAAAAATCCTTTGCTACCAAACGAGCCTTGAACTTCTCCCCTCTTTTTCTGTTACTATTTGTTTCTTCTTATACACCCATTTGCAACCAATAGGCTTCTTACTCTAAGGAAGGCAAACTAACTCCCTTGTACGATTGTGATTCAAAGGCTCCATCTCCTCAACCATGACAGCCATCCTCTTGTCGTTTTCCTGACTAGTAACAGCATCATGAAAAGTAATTGGATCATCACAGCTAACAGTAACTGCAAAAGAGACCAAGTCTTCAAAACCCAATCTGTTCAGAGGCTTTATATTCGTCCGTCTCACCCTGTCTCTGGCGAGACTATAATCCTGCAAATCATCCGTAGCGGAACCACCAGAAGTTGGTTGAGAAATTTATGTTTTCTCAACTGGAAATTGCTTGAAATCCACCACTGTCGTGTCTTTCTTCTGTTGCAACATGGGATGTTCATAAAAAACAACATCTCTACTGGTCACAATTTTCTTCGCAACTGGATCCTAGAACTTGAATCCTTTGACACCTTTCTTGTAACCCAGAAAAATGCACTCATTCGATTTTGCATCAAGTTTGGATCTATCATCAGCAGGTACATGCACATAAGCAGGACAACCAAAAATTCGTAAGTGATCAAAAGTAACATCATGACCAGTCCATACCTATTCTGCAACTTTCCCAGCCAATGACGCCCTTGGCGATCTATTGATAAGATAACACGCCATGTTAACAGTCTCAGCCCAGAAGTGTTTGGGAAGCCTCGCATTCAACCGCAAACATCTAGCTCTTCATTCAACGACCTGTTCATCCGTTCCGCAACACCATTCTGTTGTGGTGTCTTGCGCACTGTAAAATGCCTCTTAATTCCATGCTCCTTACAGAAGTTTAGAAAATGTGAATCTGTGTACTCTGTACCATTTTCAGACCGAAAACACTTGATTTTTCGTCCTATTTAGTTTTCTACCTCAGCTTTCCACAGATTGAACTTCTCAAAAACGTCAGACTTCTATTTTAAAAAATAAACCCAAACTTTCTGTGAAAAATCATCAATAAAATTAACATAATACCTAGATCCACCCAAAGACGATGTCGTGGAAGGCTCCCATACATCAGAATGCATATAATCAAGAATCTCTTCAGTTGTGTGCTTCTCAGTCTTGAAACGAACTTTAGTTTGTTTACCAAGAACACAATACTTGCAAAAATTGAGCTTACAGCTTTTTACACCATGTAACAGATTTCTTTTATGTAATTTAGCCATACCACATTTACTAAGATTAGCAAGACGCATATGCCACAGTTTGGTAGTATCATCACATGACTCAGCAGAATGAACTCCACCTACAATGATATTCTCTAACAATCTGTAAATATTCCCTGCAGTCATCTTTCCTTTCATCACAGTCAAAGCTCCTTTAACAAACCGAATGGTTTCTCTATCCTCATCAGCCTTATGGATAAAATCATTCTTGTGGAAAGTGTCCAAAGAAATCAAATTCTTCTTTAAATATAGGATATGTCGAACACCACACAACGTCCGAAAAGAACCATCATACATCTTAATTCTGACATCATCAATACCAATAATATTGCAACATCGATCATCACCCAAATAGACAGAACCAGAATTAATCGACCTGTATGTCGAAAACTATTCCCTATTTGGCGTGATGTGATAAGAACATCTAAAATCAAGAATCCAAGCATCCTCCAATTGATTCATTGAAATAGAGAACATATCACCTTCATTGCAATCAGAATTGTCATCCTCGACCACATTCACAGATTTGGATGAGTCATCACGCTTCTCATCAGTATGCTTTTTCAACTTCAGACAGTCTCGTTTCATATGTCATGCCTCCTTGCACTTGTAACAGTGCATTTTCTTCTTATCCCTAGATTTGGATCTGATATTCCGCTTCCCAGACCCTGCATTCTCTGGTTTTCGTCCACGGTCTCGATTACCCTTGACATATAAGCTATCAGCTTGAGAGTTTTCCCCTGTGTTCTGCTTCCGCTGGTTGTGAGCCAACAAGGCTGCAACAATCTCCTCAACTTTGATAATCTCTTTCCCATATGTAAGATTAGTCACCATGTGTTCATAAGAGGGAGGCAACGAACACAACAAAAACATCACTTTGTATTCATCCTCAATTTTCACATCAAGCTAAGCCAAATTAGAAACGATTTGATTGAAGACATTCACATGTTGCGCCAAATCATGATCATCCTGCATCTTTAGCCCATACAGCCGTTGCTTTAGATAGAGTTGCTGCTTTAGATACAGTTTAGTCGTTAAGGATTTGGACATAAACTGACTTTCCAACTTCTTCCAAATTTCATCTGGAGATGACAAATGCATGACGTGATACATGACCTCATCCGCCAAACATAATCGTATGGTTCCTGCCATTCGTTGCTATAATTCTTCCTAATCTTCCTCCTCCATCGATACCGGCTTTATAGGTCACAAAGCCTTCAGGATCCCTTGTTGCGCCAACAGATCATTCACCCTTGTTTGCCATAATCTGAAGTTACCCTGACCATCGAATTTCGTAACTTCGAATTTGGCTCCTGACATCTGATATCAATTATTGAATAATCGGGTAAAGAAAACAGAAAGAACACAAAAATTTTAACAAGGTTCAACAATGTGCTTACGTCCTCGGTGCTCTAGGCGACGCTAAAATTTTATTCAATATCTCATAGGTTTAGGTTACATCTCCTTTTATAATAAATAAACTCTGATACATATTTAAAAAAATAATCATGTACCATACTGTGGGGCCGCACCCCCAACCCACATAAACATAACCCCCACTACGAGACTTTCTAAAAAGGACAGATGATGTTCGCTCACTCAACTCTATCATCTGTCCTCTTTACCGATATATTTATGAGTCATACCTTAGATATACTCACTGGCAATTAGGTTAACTTTGGACATCCTTTAATATGTAAGCTTCGGATGGAAGTCAGATATCACACCCCATCAGATAAAGAGGCTAATTTCTCACAACTTTGAATAAACAATTCAGACAAGGAAGATAAGGCTTGCAATCTGTTTACTGGAAGGGATACAAGGCTTTCACATTGAATTAATCTCGAAGTTTCTAAATAGTTGAGGTTTTGTAGTCCTATAAGCAAGCCTTCAAGTTGTGACATGAGCAAAATGAAGTCCCAAGCTTTTAAGGGAGGATAGATTATCTAGCACATCAGATGAAGACTTTAAACTACTTTTATGGATGAACAACCTCTTAAGGTGTTTATGGTTTTGCAGTAGTCCATCAGGTATATCTATATTCTCATAGGGTTCAAAAATTTCAAGAGATATGAGGTTAGTGGAGTTCGTTATTAAAGATTTAAGTGAAGTAACATTAGTTCCTATAACATGTAACACTTTCAGATATTGCAACATTGGGGGATTAACCAACTTAGAATAACCTCTGATAAATAATACACTTAAGAGAGGAAAATGTTCTCCACCATTCACTGTTGTCTATTCCTTCAAACATGGAGCCTTCTCGATTTTGAGAACCTCGAGTGATGAAAAAGAACTTTCGATATCTCCATAGAAGCCATTATCCATACACTTTAGTGCACCCATTCCCTTAATACTAAGGATCTTAAGGAAGCGTAATTTCCCTAATGGTGGAATCTAATCGCATCTTTCACAATCTTCTAGTGAGATTTCAACAAGGTTTGGTAGAAGTAGATCATGTTGGTAAAATAGACTACAAAACCATATCGTTAGCACTGATAGAAAAGATAAAAAATAATTGAAAAGTAACAGATTCGTAAACCGTGTCGTGGTATAACCACTGCCTTAGAAATGAATTCGCCCCGATGTGTGTAATCGCTGTAGTAGGCAGACCGTCCCCCGAGGTTAACACGATTGCTCCAAATTCCGTACACCCAAAATCGGAGTGGACTGCTGGTGGTATTGAAATTCTGATCGGAAAGTACACAAATAAAATATTTACAAAACACTTGGAGAGTGAATTCTGAATATTGAGTGTGAGTTGAGAAGCTGAAACCAACTCTATATTTATAAGCTAGAAATAGGGTTAAAATTGTCCACAAAATATCAGGATTAAAACCCTTCTTTATAACAGCTGAAACGTCTAGATGAACCTGACTCCGAAATAGTCCAGGTTCATTTCATCATTATTCAGCTATTATAACTCTCGTAACTCCTGAAATTAAATCATTGTAACTCCTGATATTAACATCTTGTCCCCTTTGTACAAAGCTAGAAATCTGTCCAGTACATCTTAATGTTTATGATTTAATTTAGGAAAAAACTGTTTAATTTCCGATAGCTCATAAATCATCTGTTATCATTTGAATTTAAATAGTCCTCAATAGCCTATAAATATCAGTTGAAATCTTTCACATTTTTCCATTTGTTTCTTTCGAAGAGAAATTCCTCAAGAATTTTCTCTAAAAATATAGTATCCACGCGGACGTGTCGAAGACAAGTATTACCACGACCACAACCTCGACCTCGACCACGAGCCGAGCTATGCCGTGCCGAGACTAGACGAATCGAGACGGACGACAGCAGCGACGGTACGCGAGAGTCCCCCTTGTTCTCTTTCACTCAACAAGGAAGTAGGAAATCCAAACCGTAAATACCCATTTCCAATAGTGTTTCCAATACTATGTGAGATTGAGCATTACCAACATTCCCCCACTAATGCGAAAGAATTCTTTTAAAACTCGAAAAGAAACTTTCCAGAAGAGCAATAGCGAGATTAGTTGCTTAAGCACTAGTGAACGTATCTGGAACTAGTACATAATGATGATGAGCAATAATTCTCTTAGATAAGTGAAACTAGTATGGAACTTTCTAAGATTGGGGTAAACTCATAACACACAACTAACCCCTTAATCCACCTGAGTCCTCGATGTGTAAGATATATATATATATATTTGGCTATCTTACCTCAGGATTCTAGTAAATGTGCTAGAAAAATGGCCCAATATTTTTCATAGAAGGCGGCTAACCCTTATCACTTACATAGGTTATTTCATCAAGTTTATCTCGACATAAACCACCCTTAAAAATGGATATGAAATAATTAAGAGCTTTTATAATAGCTCAACCTCACAAAGGGTATGGTGACTTTCTTCAAGTTCATTATTAATGAACCACCCAAACTCTGAGCTAAGAAGTCATTAAGAATAAATATTTAACCTCATTTATCGATAAATTCAATAAGTCATTCTCATTAGAACCATCCAAATACTTGGATTTGAATTTATTGAGAGTTTAACAAACTCAACCTTTCTGTCGGTAAGTTCATTATTTCCTTCTTATTTAGGAATACCCAGTCACTCTGGGTTATGAACTTATTAAGAATAGATATTCAGCTAAAATCGGTAAATTCATCAAGTCTTTCTCACTAAGACCACCCAAAGCCTGGGATATGAATTTATTAAGAGAACTTAAGCTCATTCTGGGCATGCATATTATTCATCATATGGATAGGCAGTAGGAATGTGCACTATGAGTCTTTCCATGATTTCGTTTGACCACATGGAACTTAGATAACTAAGTTGGGTATCCACCATGAATTCCTCAACCAATGGGCTTTATACTCATCCCCCTCAACGAATCTAGGACCAGCTTCCGACTTAACCCTTTGGTGAGTGAATCTGCTAGGTTCTTTTCCGACTTCACATACTCTAAAGAGAGCACTCCGTTCTTTATTAAGTGTCTAACTTATTCATGTCTTATGTGAATGTCTTTTCTTACCATTGTAAGTTTGGTTCTTAGCCACACATATCGCAACTTATGAATCACACAACAATGAAACTGAAGGAGTCGGTATTCCCCATAACGGAATATCTGCTAACAAGCTTCTGAGCCACTCGACTTCTTGCCCAGCTAGGTCAACAGCTATAAACTCTGAATCCATGGTAGAACGAGCAATACAAGTCTGCTTTGATGATTTCCACGAGATTGTTGCTCCACCAAAGTAAAAACATTCTCGCTCATAGAGCTTACCTCATCATTATCAGAAACCCAGTTGGCATCACAATATCCTTCCAGTACCGCAGGAAAGCCAACAAACTCAAGTTTCCAATCCAAAGTACCCTTAAGATACTTCAGTAAGCGTTTAAGAGCAATCCAATGTTCACCACTCGGATTATGAGTATATCTACTCAGTTTACTCACAACATAAGCAATATCAGGCCGAGTATAGTTCATTAAGAACATTAAGATTCCGATTAATTTAGCATATTCAGTTTGGGAAACGCTACTTCTATTATTCTTAACAAGATGTATGCTAGGGTCATAAGGAGTTCGAACAGGGACGACATCATAACTTTTAAAATTTCTTTAGCACTTTCTCTATATAATGTGCTTGACTTAAAGAAAATCGCTTTTCAGTTTTGGTAACTTTGACTCCGAAGATTACATCTACTTCTTCCAAATCTGTCATCTCAAACTTAGTGGACAAGAAATTCTTAACTTTGTTAATGGACTCAATGTTAGAACTGAAAATCAACATGTCATCAACATACAGACTTATGATGACACATTCAGTGCCAAACATCTTCGAATACACACAAGCATCCGAACCATTCACAATAAAGCTAAAACTGAGAATAGTTTTATAGAATTTCTCATACCATTGTTTAGGAGCCTGCTTAAGTCCATAAAGTAACTTTTTAAGTCTATAGACTTTTCCATCCATACCATGTGCTTCAAAACCTAGTAGCTGCTCCATGTAAATCTCCTCATCTAGATCTCCATTCAAGAAAATAGTCTTAACATCCATTTGATGTACCTGCAACTTATGAATAGAGGCTAGCGCAAATAATGCACGAATCGTTGAGATTTTCGTAACGGGAGAGTGTGTATCAAAGTAGTCTAAACCAAACCTTTGAGTGAACCCTTTGACATCTAACCTTGCCTTGTACCGCTGAATCAAACCATCTGGCCTCATTTTCTTCCGGAAGACCCATTTATTACAGATTGGTTTGAATCCCTTAGGCAAGTTAACTAATTCCCAAGTATGATTAGACATTATCGATTCTAGTTCATCATTAATAGCACTTTTCCAGAAACTAGCATCGATAGATATTATAGCTTCTTTAAAAGTTTTAGGATCCTCATCTAACAGAAAAATTTGAGCTATAGGATCTAAAATGGAGTCTAAATCATTTATCTCATAAATAAAGGAAGTAATAAAGTCTGGTCCAAAAGAGGTTTCAACTATTTGCCTTTTACTTCTTTTAGGCTAAAAACAATTTGTTCAGAAGACATAGCAAGATTACTAGAAGAAGTGGATGTAATATATTCTATTTGTGTTTCAATATTTATTCTCGGTTCCTTTAAAGGAAAAATATTTTCAAAGAAAACAACATCCCTTGACTCATAAATAGAATAATCTTGTAAAAGCATGAATCTGTATGCGACATTATTCGTAGAATACCCTATAAACACTGCATCAACGATTTTAGGTCTGATGGCGGACTTCTTAAAATCTGGCAAACCCACTTTAGCCAGACACCCCCACACTTTCAGGTATTATAAATTAGGAGTGTATCCTTTCCACAATTCATATGGGGTAGAATCTAATTTCTTATGAGGAACTCGGTTCAAGATATGAGTTGCTGATAGAATGGCTTACCCCACATGTTATCAGATAACCCTGAACTTATTAGTAAAGAATTCATCATATCTTTTAAAGTTCTATTTTTCCTTTCGGCTATACCATTCTGTTGAGGAAAATAGGGGGATGAAGTTTCATGAGTTATGTCATTCTTTTCACAAATATCTTTTAAGAAATTAGATCCATATTCACCACCTCTATCAGATCTAACCCGTTTGATTCTCTTATCTAACTGATTTTCAACTTTTGCCTTATAAATAAGAAAGAAGTTTTCAGCTTCATCTTTAGTCCTTAGGAGATAAACTTTTGTATATCTTGAATAATCATCTACAAAAGTTATGTAGTAGTGTTTTCCTCCTTTACTTTCAGTGTTCTAAAATCTGCTAGATCAGTATGAACGAGTTCTAACAGCTCAGTCTTTTTATTAGAAACAGTCTTAAAGTGAGGTCTAGTATGCTTAGCTTCTACACAAATCTCACATTTGTTAAAAAGCTAGTTGTGTCTAGTTTAGGCAGAACATTCATATTTATCAATTTCTTTAAAGCATGAATATTCACGTGTCCTAATCTAGCATGCCACATATCAATGGATTCAACAATATAAGCAGAAGTGGTAACTTTATTTTCATTAAATTGAGTTTCTATGACAAATAAATAATTGCTTAAAAAACCCTTTCCCAACATAATCACCATTTCGAGAAAGTACAAGTTTATCTGCCTCAAAAACTAACTTAATGTTTGCCTTATTCAGAAGCCCACCACTTATCAAATTTCTACGCAAGGCATGTACATACAGAACATTATTTAAAGCCAGAGTTTTACCAGAAGTCAGCTTGAGTAAAACATTGCCTTTGCCTAGCACTTCAGTGCTGCTAGAGTTCCCCGTGTACACACGTTCACCTACGTTCCCATCCTCGAATTCAGTGAAAATCTCATTCCTTACACAGAAATGCTTCGAAGTGTCAGTGTCAACAACTCATTCCAAACTGTTTTCCACCAGATTAACTTCTGAGACCACCGCAACAATGATTTCATCATCTTCTTCTACAACGTGCATATGTGGCTTGTTCTCATTCTGGTGATCTGAGCGGTGTTGGCATTGGTAAGCTTTGTGGTCGGGTAAACCACAGACATAGCACTTGAGCTTCTTTCCTTCAGATTTGTCATTTCCTGACTTCTTGAAGTTGGTAGCCTTATGAGGTTTCGTCTTCTTATCTTGATTCCCACGTTTCATGATCTTCTTAAATTTAGACTCAACCAAGTTAACTCTAAAAGATAAATTACTCATAGAATTAGTAAGCTTATTTTTTATACGATTGGCTTCTTCAATCTTCATATGGCCCACCAGCTCTTTAAGCGAAATTTTTCTCTTCTTATGCTTAAGAGAATTGCGGTAGTCGGACCAGGACTTGGGCAGCTTCTCAATGAGAACATTGGCTTGCAGCACCTCACGCATTTGCATCCCTTCGACGATGATGTCGGCGACTAAGTTCTCATAGTCATGGACTTAATCCATTATTGGTTTATCGTCTGTCATCTGGAATTTGATCCATTCACCGACAACGTACTTCTTGATGCCCGTATCGTCTGCACCATATTTTTTCTCGAGAATGTCTCATATTGCCTTGGCACTCCTTTCTCTAAGAAACGTATCAAATAGTTTATTTGACATGTGACTGAACAGATGTCCTCGCACCGTTTTGTTGTCTTTCTCGTATTTCTCGTAGGTAGCGAGAGCGGCAGTTGCTATGGCATCATCATTCAGGACTGCATCCGAATCATTACCAGCAGCTGGAGTTGGCGGCATGGTAGGTGGTGGCTTGAGCTACACGTAGTCAAGATCAAGCTGCTCGAAGAATATCAGGATTCGTTAGGACCACCTTCTATAATTCTTTCCATCAAGTGTATCGAGCTTGGAAAGATCGGGAATCAATTTGCTCAAAGGTGTTGTCATGATTGCAGTATGTAGAATTCGTTTCTAAATTGTTGGTAAAATATACTGCAAAACCACACCGTTAGCACTGACAGGAAAGATAAACAATAATTGAAAAGAAACAGATTCGTAAACCGTATCTTGGTATAACCACTGCCTTAGAAACAAATTCACCCCGATGTGTGTAATCGTTGCAATAAGCGACGGCGGCAGTGCGCAAGAGTCCCCCTTGTTCTCTTTTGCTCAACAAGGAAGTGGGAAATCCAAACCATAAATACCCATTCCCAATAGTGTTTCCAATACTATGTGGGATTGAGCTTTACCAACAGATATGTCATCCAATTTGGGAACCTAACACCTTGGTAACCAGTTATGCATAACTTCTTCAAGCTTGAACGAGGCTGGAGGGCATTAAGAACCTTTTCATCATTTATATGTTGATGATGAGTACTTTCCCGGTTTTGCCAAGTCAAGCTTAATGATCTTAAATTTTGCTTCTTTATCAAATTCGCATTTTCAGCTTCTTTTGAATTCTTCACATTACAAAGTCCTGTGATGCTCAATTCTCCCTCTATGGCCAACTCGTTCAACTCATCAATGCCACAACCCTTGTCCTTTCCCGCAATGAACTTGCTGAGCTTGCGCAAGCATGATAATTGTCCCAATCCAACAGGCATAGAAATCAGGTCATCGCAGCCTCTAAGGTCTAAGTACCTTTGATTTTTCAAATACTTCATACCTTTAGGTAACATTTTAAGACTTCGACACCGTTCGAGATTTAGTGTCTGCAAGTTATGTAGGGAGTTTGTTGACTCGGGTAGAGTTTTAACACGATGATCATGAAGGCAAAAATACCTCAGCTGCTTCAAACTTTTAAACGCAATGTTGCTTAATCTGCGGCCAAAGTCCAAAACCTTCAGATACTTTTGATTACTGATGTTACTAGCACTGCGAAAGACGAGATCTCTATCGAGGATCAACGAGCGCAATGGCTGCAGTTTGGATAAGTCCACAATGTTTGTTGGTGAATTGCTAGTATGAATAAACAAGAGACGATCAGTTTTTGGTAATTTCAACCTCTTATTGGAATCAATCACACATATTTCGTATCTCCTAATTGACATCACAAGATCAAGGATTAAATCATGCATTTTACACGTAACAGTTCCGTGAATATCCTCATCGATATCTTGGAATAATGGCCTCCAAGTTAATTCAAAGAATATTTCACACCCTGTATCGTGCAAATCCAATGGTGGGAAGGAATAAATCCAGGTGCCATCCATAGTCCTATCAACTCGTCCTTGTTCATGACATAATCTTTGGGAAATATTGAGCAAAATGAAAAACACTGCCTCATGTAAGAAGGAAGATGTTCATAACTTAACCTCAACACAGCTAAGATTCTACTTGCCTCGTCTTCCAAGTCCCATATCTCGCTATCTCTGACGTGTAACCATTCACTTTCAAGACTTTTGAAACACAATATGCTTCCAGTTGCCTTAATCGCCAATGGCACCCCTCCACATCTCTGCTCGATTTTACTCCCAATTGTTTCCAGGTTCGGGTTGCCTTCATTTGTTCCCATCCCAAAGGCTCTTCGCTTGAATAAGGACCAGGAATCGTCATTGGACAAACATTCCAATCGATGAAAAGGAACCGTAGCCATCATATGAGCAACTTTCTCAAGTCGAGTTGTGACAATGACTGCACTTCCTCACCCTCCGTATCGCAGCGCTTCATGAAGTCTATCCCACTTGTCATGGTACTCGTTCCACACATAGTCAAGAACAAGTAAAAACCTCCTCCTGGCAAGCTTCTCGACTAAGCATAGCTGCAGGGGATCTAGCTCTAGGATGTCGCATGATCCCCCTTCAATGGATTCCACAATGGCTTTAGTCAACCTTTTTACATCGAAATCATACGATACACACACCCAAATCCTCAAATCAAAGGCTTTGGCCACGTTCTCATCGTTGCAGACCAATTGAGCAATCGTTATCTTTCCAAGACCTCCCATACCGCATATTGCATAAACGTAGAGGCCATCATGATGATTCGCGTCGTTAAATATCATACTAACGATCTTTCCCTTATCATCTGCTCGGCCAAATACTTCCCATTCTTTCACAGGGGAGCTGGTTTCCCTATCCTCATTCCGTTCAAATTCAGTTTCCCCCACACACTCGCAAGTGGAACTTGCTTTTCTCCCCGGCAATGGCATCCAATTCCTCTCTTGCAGTCTTAAATCTATGTGCCATAGATAAGTGAAACAAAAGTGGGTTCTTAAGGGTATTGAACGTGGATACCTTGTTTCCAAGGCCCCGAACTTCTGTTTCGAAACCACCGAGCAGATCTTCGAGATCGTAGGCTGATTGTTCGAGCTTTGCGAGCCAATTCCTGATAGCTTCACTCTTCCACTGCTTCTCCTCGGCATCATGGAGCACCGCTTGGATTGTCGTGAGAGTACTCTGCAGACTCTCGAGCTCGGTTATGAGGCTGCCAGAAAGGGCGAGCTCCTTACGGAACAAGGAGTCCAAGTTGCTCAAGATGGTACTGATAAGTCGCTGAAACAAGTGCATCCGCCATTTCACAATCTGTAAAGCAAAAACTGGAAACAAAAGCAACAGCTCAAAGCCAAAGAAAGAAATGGAAGATTCATAAATTTTGGATCACTCTCTGTATCAAACAAAGAAATGGTACCGTTTCACCTAGGGTCCACACCGGATTTGTAGACACCCGTTTTTGTCCGGGTCTTTTTTATATATTATTATTATCGTTATTTTAATTATTATTATTAGCATTATTATTATTATTTTATTTACATATTATATTCTGTTTCCAGGCCCAGTACAAAGATTCCGGAGCCCAACACCAAAGCCCAATATGCTAATCCAATCATTAGACCTGGACTCTACCCACTGGACTGTGACCTAACCCGATGTGGCCCGTTTGGGAAAACCCTAAACACATTAGGGTCTTAACCCTAACTCATCAGCCAGCCAGCCAGCCGCCTCTGGCTATTTAGCTTCCCCAGCCTTGCGTGGTCTTCACCGGTCACTCCCGAGCCGAGTGAGCCGCCGCTGGTGATTTCTCGAGCCACTGCCAATCTCTCCAGTCCATCCATCATCCACAGTGACCCTCAACAGTGAGATAGCAGAGAAATCAATTAAAAATTAGAAAAAATCCAAGCAAATCTAATCAAATCCAAGAGATGACAGCATGAGTATAGGGATATCATTCCCTACGAACTCAACCATCCATCAGTTAGAAGATATCAACACATGCATCAATAAAAGAAAAAAAGAACCGAAGAAAAAAAGAACCGAGATCCATTCGAACCACAACCGAGAAGAAAAAAAAAAGAGGAGTAGGAGAGGATAATACCTTCATCGGAGGAGTGCCGGAAAGTCAAGTGGTCGCCGGAGTTCAAAGCTTTCGAGAGGTATAATCTTAGATCTAGGGTTGTTAGGTGTTTTTTAGATGAAAATGGTTTAGGTTTCGGGTAAAGGAAGGTGAGGAGATGCTTTTGGGACCATCTGGTCCCTCCGGCCGTCGTGCCAGCAGTCGTGCGTCGCTGCTTGCTACCGCAAGCTCAGCCGGGTCCCTCTCTCCGATGAGAGGAGTTTAAGAGATTTTTGAATCTCTCTCTCCTCTCTATTTTGATAAGAAATGAGAAATGGGGATGAATGGTAAGCAAGCCCGATTTTGGGCCTTATACATCATTAGTGAAACGACGTAGTTTCACAGGGGCCTTATGTGTATTTTAGCTTGCGGGGTAACTACAATCTAGGTCCTTCCTCATCTGTAATTTGTTATTTTGGCCATTAATGGAAATGCATTCTATTTTAATTTCAAGCTCTCATGTTTCATATTTCTATTTTAGTCCTTATTATGTGTTATATTATTTATTTATTTATTTATTTTTTGCTAATGTTCGACTCTGGTTTTTATATTCGTAAATGTTTCATTTTCGTCCCTGTCTAGTTATTATGCATTTTTGCTAATCTTTCGGATTCTGTCTTATATTTTTGTTTTATTTTATTTTAATCCCCATTTGTAACTGCAATTATTATGAGAATATTTGAATGCGGTCATAGCATTCATGCAAGTTCACATTCTAGTCCATGTTTGTTTGTGTTTATTATTTATGGTGTTTTTGACTTCTGCTTCAATGTTTATATAACACTCATTTTGGTCCTTGAATAAAGTTTAGAATATAAAGACTTAAATCCTATAGGTTTAATTTTATTTTATTTTAAGTCATTATATGTTGATTCTGAAACATCTATGTTTATGGGTTTATTACACATCTAGACTTTTATTACTTTATTTTTGTGGTTTGGTCCTATCCTTAGTTTTACTTTAATCTTAATTAATCAGGTGCACTACAATTTGATTATCTCTAAATATGGTTTTGTATTCTCTTGTAGATTGCTTGCGTTTGTTTATATTTTTCGTTTATTGTTTGTATCTATGATATTATATTTGCATGCATGTATGTATTTTACAAATTTTGACCTTATATCTATTTATATCCATGTATATGATGTAAATTTAGTTTGATCTCATTTATTTATTTATTTATTTATTTATTTCATAAAGGACCCGTTAGTTAATGTTTTATTACATACTTGATTATAATATTTTGCAAATATTTTATCCTTTATATTTTATTAGGTATACGTGCATCTTATAAATATTTCAATATATATATTCTATTTATTTTATGTTATATGTTAACTTGTTGCTCGGAAAATTTCAAGAACAATGATTTGTAGAATGGGCGTGGAAAGCATTGCTTGATCGAAGTATTGCTTGGTCGAAGTATTGCAATCCAATACGACATTCGAACCAAATAAGGACTTGAAATAAATTAATTGTATTTTGCTAATTATTAATTCATTCCATTTTAAACATTGCAAAGGTCTCTGAATAATAATTTATTTCATTTCATGTAAATTATCAATCTTCGTTCTACATTTTATATTCGATTCATTTTTTTTTGTTAATCAATTTATTTTGTTGTATGTAAACATCAATTTTATATATATATTCAATTCGTGTTTTGTCAAAGAGAGAATATTTTTTACGGATAAGAAATAGTCGAAATAGTTTTCCCGACGGAAGATTACTAATTTCGAGATTTCTTTTCGAATTAAAGAATTTTCTCTAATTAATTGATTCCAAGCAAATTAATTATATTTCAATAAATGGATCATATTTTAATTTTATATTCGATTCGTAATTTCCACCATTTACGACAACGTGTAAGCTACACAGTACCAATTTTGGGGCGTTGTGGGGGTGCTTACCCTTCCCCGCACGTAACCGACTCCCGAATCCATTTAAATGAATCTTCGGTAACGCAGACCGAATTTTGTCTTAAAAAATGATTTTTCTTAAAATTGTTTTAAAAGACGTTTTTAGGTATTCGACCTACCTAACCCAAAGGTCGATGGCGACTCCTATCCAATTTAATTTAAATCTAATCCAAAATCACTCAATTTTTTAAAATTAAAGTCATAATTGTTTTTAAAAATAATATTAAATCATTGTTTTACAAAAAATGGTTATGACAGCTTGGCGACTCCGCTGGGGACCAGTTTTTTAGAGAGTTAAGCTGTAGGTCGCTTACACATTGTCGTCTTAGTGGAAATTATAAGTTTGAGTACATAGTTAACTTATGATCCGTTTATTGAAGTTTTTAATTGCTTCATTTTTATCTGTCATACTAATAATTTAATCTCTGTTTTCAGATTCGTCAAGGTTTTATCAAGTTTTTTCCTTGTTTCGTTTTCCTTTTAAGTCGAAGGTAGGTACGCTCCTCGTCACACACATCACTCGCATTTGCATAACATAAGATCTAGACACGAGCTTCGATCCAAATTAGTCAGGGTGAATGCTTTACTCTCGTAAGAATTTATTCTTCGTATGAGTTTTAGCAAATAACCCATGGGATACATACCTTATACCTTCGTAGGAATTTATTCCTCGCATGGGTATAAGGCAGTGAATCCCCTCGAATTGAACTCGTTCCGCTTGAAACCTATAATGGGTGAGGATCGAGGGTTTGGCAGCCCAAAGGGGCACCGACATCAAGGACAATTCGAGTCCCTTTTTTTCGTTAGAACCGAAACCAAGCATATAGTGAACCGTCGAACGATCACCCTAGGTATAGTCATACCGAACCTTTGTCCGTCAGTAGGTACCCAAAATAGGTGTACACGAAGGAGGAACGACTCTAAACCTTAACCTTTTAAATTTGTAGAATATATTTTTTTCCCGAATAAAGCATGCGAACTAGATACCATGCGGTTAGGGCCAATTTCTTGAAAATAGATCATTTTGGGTAGATAGCATGTCCGGGTAGGATTGTTATTTAATTGAAAGCATGTTTGGGTAGATATCATGACGGGGTAGGTGTTATATTCATCTCTGAATAACATTTTTATCCGTATAAATTATTTTACATGTACTAACTCATTTTTCTCTTTTGTTTTTACACCTTAACTTATTTATTTTGTTTGTCATTTTTCATCCTTCTTTGCATTGCATTGCATCGTCATGCTATAATATGAAAATGTTGATCCGCAAGGGGATATCCATGAGAAAATCTTCACAAGAAGAGATAAAAATTTTCAATCAAGCAGTCGCATACACAGACATGCACCGAGGGCTTAAAGAAGTTCAGAGTACAAGAATGAGACTTGCTCAAAGATCCTGCATCATTCGAGATTGATATGATAATCCATTGATCCGAGGAGTGATCCAGCAGTAGATTTTCATCTACAATCATTCTATCACTAACAATCAAGGAGTGGCATACAGACTTCAGCACTGTAGAGGCATTAATGGTGTCAGATTACAGAACGCTTTAGGGGCATCAGTTTCAAATACGAAGAGACAAAACGAAGCAGTGAGCTCAAAGATTGTGCAACATTCGAGACTAAAACGATGATCCATTGAGCCAAAGAGTAATCCAACAGTAGATTCTCATCTACAATTATTTCATCGCTATCCATCAAGGAGCGACGCACTGACTTCAGCACCGCCGGGGCATTAATGGTGTCAGATTACAGATCATTGAGGGGCATTATTTTCAAGGACGAAGATCTGAGACGAAGCAGCGATCTATTTCAGACTCAGCATCTAAGCGAAGGCATGTCTGTAAAGTAGATTGTCTTGTGATGTGAAAGCTTTCATCTCTGGTGGAAATTATTCTAAGATATTCATCGTTGGGATCAACATTTTTGCATCTACATTTGCATCTTTGTATTTTGCATCTGCATTTCATCATTCTTAAAAACATGGAATTAATCAGTGCAGTATTCGATGAAGTGGTTCTAACCACATTGAGAATAGAAGTAAGAAGTTGAAACCATTACGACGAGAGCTTGTTCGGCTGGTTGTAGGATTGAGCCTTCCAAGATGATATGAGAAAAGAGTCCCCGTTCCTGGAGGTCCATGATGTTGATCTCGGGTACAACTACAACATAGGAAGCTTCAGTCATTCCGCTGAGAATTGTAAGACACTGAAGATCAAGATCCAGAACTTGATGAATTCAGGGCATGTACAATCGAAGAAAATTGGGGCATTGCATTTAACACTTGAACTGAGAGTGTTTTGTTTGAACTCGTTTTGTTATATCTTTTATATTTGCTTAAATATTTTTAATCTTAATACTTGAATTTATACTACCTTTTAAGGTTGGATAATGGAACGAATTTTAATCTTGAGTTCTTTGAATATCAAATGAATTACATATTCTCTTAATTCTTCAAGAATTATAGATTTTTGACATATGGCAAGATTGGACCTATATTATCCCATCTAAACCAAAAATAAAATCTCTTGATTCTTTACCCTAAATAATTCATGATCACTACCAAAAGAACCAATTTTTGACATTCATTCTTTTTGAGACCTTGAAACATTGTCTTTATCTTTTTGAGACACAAAAAGTCATATCCTTACCTTTCTTTGAGCCAATAAAGTTGCACCTTCGTCTTCTTAGATGTAAAACCAAGATTTTTCTATCAATAAAACCTGAAGACATTGAGTACAAGATGTTTACTTGAACATGAACCCTCTTACAACAAGACATGGGGCATCTCGCATCAATTTTCTGAAGACGAGCATGAGCAATTAAGACATGTTGAGAGCAAGAAGCGAAGAGAAAAAAATAGAATTCATTCAAAATAATTCTATCATGCATTAATTACTGTTTTCATTTAAATAAAAATTAATCCTGAAAATCTATCCCCCTGGGGATACCTCTTCTGCAAGGACTTCTGTGTATGAGATGATGAACGGTTTTTTTTATCCCTTCACAACAGGAGAAAATATATCCCTTGTGTCCCCTTTGAGCCTGAATGATATTTTCTTTTGATTCAACCCTAACCAAGGATCACCCTCCACACTGGGGGGAAATGTGAAGGAAATCTGAGTGAAGAAAATTGATCCAAATGAGATACCGAAAGGTGAACCAGACGCAGAGTGCAAAGATCAAACCAAAGAAAAAAAACAAAGAGCAAAGAGAAAAATCAAAGCAAAAATCAAAGAAAAAGCAAAGAACAAAAAGAGGACAAAGAACACAGACAAAGAGTCTCCTGACTCAAATGACGCATTGAGCTTCAAACCGTGAGATTAATCAAACACAATCACTCTAGAATCACTTGACTCGAAGATCATAAAACATCAAGAGAAAGATATGCGAGTAGATTCAAATTGAGCAAAACAAGATCGAAGGCATCAGAGTTAATTGATCCTTGGTTCAAATACCCTTAAAACACATGTTTGGGCCTTTTATCCCTTTCTTTCATAACCCTGAACCATGACCTACATTACGTGCCTTACAAGTCCCTTCTAATCATACATGGATTTCTAAGCGGAAGAGACTATCCTCATATTTCATCCCGCCTATCAGGATTAATATTTTACTTATAAAGATTTTCTAAAATCTTTAATGCATGATAGAGAAAAATAACAAAGGGGGGTTAAAGACGTAAAATTCTGAGTAACGTCTTGAAACCAAAGGAGGATTTGAGTTGAAAACCTGAAAGGGCGGCTCGAATATGAAGATTATTACATAGGAGACGATTGCTCAAATCCCTTGATGAGGCATCACACAACATGAATGAGAACATGAGAGTTGGGAGTCAGAGAACACTTCCAATAACTGAGTACAGAAGCTACTCCATCAGATCAGAGAACATCAAATAAATGAGAACACTATACTTTTGACCAAAATTAACCACTTGAGACTTTTTTATCCTTCCTTACTTAACCATCTCTCAAAGATAGCATTGATCTTGACACTTGTCAAATATCTATAATTTACTGAAGGATTAAAAGAGTAATTAATTCTTTGATATCCAATGAACTCTTGTTTTATGATTTGTCAATTGTGAAACCTTGAAAGGAGCAATGTTTTCAAAACTTTTGATTAAACATTTTTCAAAACTATTGATATTTTCAGACTTTTGAAAATAAAAGAAGAAGAAAAACATTTTCAAACAAGATAATCTCTCTGGAGGCGTATCTTGGAATTCAAAAAATATCTATCTGAAGCTCAAGATCGAAGCTGGGGCAAGAGAAGCTAAATTTTAGGGCAAAATTTGATGGAATAAACAAATGGTCTCAGGTCAAGGTTTGTAAGAGTACACATTGGTGGAAATACGGACAAGTTGAATCAATGATAGAGTGAAGACTGCTCTCGCGATCATTCTCCTTCTAGATCGAGAAAAGTATACACATACATACATACATACATACATGATACATAAAATTTGTATCAAACATTTATCATCATGTGTATTAAAGACATTTTTCTCCTCACTTGAGGACAAATTCAAAAAAAAAAAATCAAATAAATTTCATATTGACATCTATCATAACATCCAAGATAATTAGTCAAAAATGCATCATTCTGATCTTTTCAGGAAATAAGAGCTCGGAAATAACCAGATGTTTTCAACTTGAAAGAACAATGCAATCCACATATTTGGCTTCCTGAAGTCAACAATCAGATCTTCTGAAGACGTTTCCTCAACATGCAGGAATCAATAGACAAACTTTGAGCTATTGAGATTATTTTCTTTAAAATAAAAATAAATAAAGTGTCATCTCATTAGAGATAGTTTTCTTAAAAACAAATTTTATTTTGTCTCGCTTGAGACAACTTTCTCTTTAAAACAAATTATGTCTCGCTTGAGACATTTTTCCACAAATTTTGAGAATTTTAAAACAAATTGCGTCTCGCTTGAGACATTTTTCCTTTGAGATACAAATTTTGAATTTGATTCACTAAAAACAAAATTAATCTCACCTTAGATTGTTGTTTCTTTCAAAACAAATTTTGTCTCGCTTGAGACCTTTTCCCTTTGAGATCCAAATTTCGAATTTGTTTCACATTAAACAAAGTTAATCTCACTTGAGATCGTTTTCTCAAAAACAAACTTTGTCTCGCTTGAGACAATTTCTCTAAAAACAAATTTTGTCTCATTTGAGACTATATCTTAAAGCAAATTTCGTTTCGCTTGAGACATCATTTTCTCTCATAATACAAATTTCAAGGTTGTTGTACTTAAAGCAAAATTAATATCACTTGAGATTTTCAAAGCTGATTTGTCTCGCACGAGACATTTCCCCTTTTAACAAATCCTGAAATTGTTTCATTTGAAACAAAATAAACACTTTTGAAAACACCTTTGAGATTATTTCCATATAAACAAAATCGACAATATTTGAATCTTTTAAAACGATTTTTTATCTCTTAAAGACAATTTCTTTTGAGGAAAAAATCTTTGAGTTTGTTCCTCTTGAAAAAATCTTTGAGTTTGTTCCTCTTGAAAAAATCTTTGAGTTTGTTCCTTTTGAATAAAAATCTTGGAGTTTGTTCCTTTTGAATAAAAATTTTTGAGTTGTTTAGTTTGAAACAAAAATCTTTGAGTCTATTTATTTTGAAACAAAGTTTTGTCTCTCTTGAGACAATTTCGTGAAAAATCTTTGAGTCTGAAACAAAGTTTTGTCTCTCTTGAGACAATTTTGTAAAAAAATCTTTGAGATTGTTTCTTTTGAAACAAAAATCTTTGAGTTGGTTTCTTTGGAAACAAAATTTTGTCTCTCTTAAGATAATTTCTTTTGAAACAAAAATCTTTGAGTCTGTTTCTTTGGAAACAAAATTTTGTCTCTCTTAAGATAATTTCTTTTGAAACAAAAATCTTTGAGTCTGTTTCTTTGGAAACAAAATTTTGTCTCTCTTAAGATAATTTCTTTTGGAAAAAATCTTTGAATCTGTTTCTCTTAAAATGAATTTTGTATCTCTTGAGACAGTTTCTCTTGAACTAAATCTTTGAATATGTTCATTTTGAAAATCTTTGAGTTTGTTTCTCTTAACAAAATCATCTTTGAGTCTATTTCTTTAAAAACAAATGTTGTCTCTCTTGAGACAGTTTCTAATGAAAAACTAACTTTTGAGATTGTTTCATTTGAAACAAATTTGGTCTCACTTAAGATGTGATCCATCTTTGAGTCTGTTTCTTTTGAAACAAAATTTTATCTCTTAAAGACAATTTCTTTTGAAAAAAAATCTTTGAGTTTATTTCCTTTGAAACAAAATTTTGTCTCTCGAGACAACTTCTTTTGAAAATACCCACCTTTGAGATCGTTTAGACAACTTCTTTTGAAAATACCCACCTTTGAGATCGTTTCTATTAAAACAAATTTTGTCTCGCATGAGACAGTTTCCTTTCAATGACATCTTTGAATCGTTTCCCTTCAAACGAATTTTGTCTCTTGAAACATTTTCTCTTAAAACAAGATCATCTTTGAGTTTGTTTCTCTGGAAACAAGGTTTTATCCCTTAAAACAATTTCTTTTGAAGAAAAATCTGAGTCTGTTTCTTTGGAAACAAAATTTTGTCTCACTAAGATACAATTTTCTGAAAAACAAAGTTTTGTCTCTTATGACAATGTCTTTAAAAAAAATCATTGAATCTCTTTCTTTGGAAACAAAATTTTGTTTCTCTCGAGACAGTTTCTTTGAGAAAAATCTTTGAGTTTGTTTCTTTGGAAAACAAAATTTACCATCATTGAATTTGTTTCCGATCATCTTTGAGTTTGTTTCTCTGGAAACAAGGTTTTATCCCTTAAAACAGTTTCTTTTGAAGAAAAATCTGAGTCTGTTTCTTTGGAAATAAAATTTTGTCTCACTAAGATACAATTTTCTGAAAAACAAAGTTTTGTCTCTTATGACAATGTTTTTTAAAAAAAAATCATTGAATCTCTTTCTTTGGAAACAAAATTTTGTTTCTCTCGAGACAGTTTCTTTGAGAAAAATCTTTGAGTTTGTTTCTTTGGAAAACAAAATTTACCATCATTGAATTTGTTTCCCTTGAAACAAAACAAACATCTTTGAGATCGTTTCCCTTGAAATGAATTTTGTCTCATTTGAGACAGTTTCCCATGAAACACCGATATTTGAGAACGTCTCCCTTAAAAACAAATTTTGTCTCGCTTGAGACAATTCCCTTTAAACGTCATCTTTTGAGTTGTGTCATTTGAAACGAATTTTGTCTCTTTCGAGACAGTTGCTTTTGAAACACATTATCTTTGAGCTTGTTTTTCTTGAAACAAATCTTTGAGTCTGTTTCTTTTGAAACAAATCTTTGAATCGGTTTCTCTTGAAATCATAACTCCTAAAGATGGCCAGCCGTCCTCATCACGTAGGAATCGTGTCATCTCCTGATCAAATCTCCTCATCACGTAGGAGTCGTGTCACCCCTAGATAACTAGACGTCCTCATCACGTAGGAACCATGTTATCGCCCTTCCTAAAGATGGCCAGAACTCTTCATCACGTATGAGTCGTGTCATCCCCCGACCAGATCTCCTCATCGCGTAGGAGCCGTGTCACCCCTAGATAACCAGCCGTCCTCATCGCGTAGGAACCGAGTTATCACCCTTCCTAAAGATGGCCAAGAACTCTTCATCACGTATGAGAAGTGTCATCCCTCGACCATATTTCCTCATCATGTAGGAACCTTGTCACCTTTAGACGACCAGACCTCTTCATCACGTATGAGCAGTGTCGTCCCCACCAACACGCATATCCAATTTATAGGAAAAAGAAAGAGAACCAGACAAAAACGTGTTGTATTGTCGTCTTTGCCCTATTCTTGTTAACACAAGAATGTGCAAAGAGGGGCAGCTGTAGACACCCGTTTTTGTCCGGGTCTTTTTTATATATTATTATTATCGTTATTTTAATTATTATTATTAGCATTATTATTATTATTTTATTTACATATTATATTCTGTTTCCAGGCCCAGTACAAAGATTCCGGAGCCCAACACCAAAGCCCAATATGCTAATCCAATCATTAGACCTGGACTCTACCCACTGGACTGTGACCTAACCCGATGTGGCCCGTTTGGGAAAACCCTAAACACATTAGAGTCTTAACCCTAACTCATCAGCCAGCCAGCCAGCCGCCTCTGGCTATTTAGCTTCCCCAGCCTTGCGTGGTCTTCACCGGTCACTCCCGAGCCGAGTGAGCCGCCGCTGGTGATTTCTCGAGCCACTGCCAATCTCTCCAGTCCATCCATCATCCACAGTGACCCTCAACAGTGAGATAGCAGAGAAATCAATTAAAAATTAGAAAAAATCCAAGCAAATCTAATCAAATCCAAGAGATGACAGCATGAGTATAGGGATATCATTCCCTACGAACTCAACCATCCATCAGTTAGAAGATATCAACACATGCATCAATAAAAGAAAAAAAGAACCGAAGAAAAAAAGAACCGAGATCCATTCGAACCACAACCGAGAAGAAAAAAAAAGAGGAGTAGGAGAGGATAATACCTTCATCGGAGGAGTGCCGGAAAGCCAAGTGGTCGCCGGAGTTCAAAGCTTTCGAGAGGTATAATCTTAGATCTAGGGTTGTTAGGTGTTTTTTAGATGAAAATGGTTTAGGTTTCGGGTAAAGGAAGGTGAGGAGATGCTTTTGGGACCATCTGGTCCCTCCGGCCGCCGTGCCAGTAGTCGTGCGTCGCTGCTTGCTACCGCAAGCTCAACCGGGTCCCTCTCTCCGATGAGAGGAGTTTAAGAGATTTTTGAATCTCTCTCTCCTCTCTATTTTGATAAGAAATGAGAAATGGGGATGAATGGGTAAGCAAGCCCGATTTTGGGCCTTATACATCATTAGTGAAACGACGTAGTTTCACAGGGGGCCTTATGTGTATTTTAGCTTGCGGGGTAACTACAATCTAGGTCCTTCCTCATCTGTAATTTGTTATTTTGGCCATTAATGGAAATGCATTCTATTTTAATTTCAAGCTCTCATGTTTCATATTTCTATTTTAGTCCTTATTATGTGTTATATTATTTATTTATTTATTTATTTTTTGCTAATGTTCGACTCTGGTTTTTATATTCGTAAATGTTTCATTTTCGTCCCTGTCTAGTTATTATGCATTTTTGCTAATCTTTCGAATTCTGTCTTATATTTTTGTTTTATTTTATTTTAATCCCCATTTGTAACTGCAATTATTATGAGAATATTTGAATGCGGTCATAGCATTCATGCAAGTTCACATTCTAGTCCATGTTTGTTTGTGTTTATTATTTATGGTGTTTTTGACTTCTGCTTCAATGTTTATATAACACTCATTTTGGTCCTTGAATAAAGTTTAGAATATAAAGACTTAAATCCTATAGGTTTAATTTTATTTTATTTTAAGTCATTATATGTTGATTCTTAACATCTATGTTTATGGTTTATTACACATCTAGACTTTATTACTTTATTTTTGTGGTTTGGTCCTATCCTTAGTTTTACTTTAATCTTAATTAATCAGGTGCACTACAATTTGATTATCTCTAAATATGGTTTTGTATTCTCTTGTAGATTGCTTGCGTTTGTTTATATTTTTCGTTTATTGTTTGTATCTATGATATTATATTTGCATGCATGTATGTATTTTACAAATTTTGACCTTATATCTATTTATATCCATGTATATGATGTAAATTTAGTTTGATCTCATTTATTTATTTATTTATTTATTTATTTCATAAAGAACCCGTTAGTTAATGTTTTATTACATACTTGATTATAATATTTTGCAAATATTTTATCCTTTATATTTTATTAGGTATGCGTGCATCTTATAAATATTTCAATATATATATTCTAATTATTTTATGTTATATGTTAACTTGTTGCTCGGAAAATTTCAAGAACAATGATTTGTAGAATGGGCGTGGAAAGCATTGCTTGATCGAAGTATTGCTTGGTCGAAGTATTGCAATCCAATACAACATTCGAACCAAATAAGGACTTGAAATAAATTAATTGTATTTTGCTAATTATTAATTCATTCCATTTTAAACATTGCAAAGGTCTCTGAATAATAATTTATTTCATTTCATGTAAATTATCAATCTTCGTTCTACATTTTATATTCGATTCATTTTTTTTTTGTTAATCAATTTATTTTGTTGTATGTAAACATCAATTTTATATATATTCAATTCGTGTTTTGTCAAAGAGAGAATATTTTTTACGGATAAGAAATAGTCGAAATAGTTTTCCCGACGGAAGATTACTAATTTCGAGATTTCTTTTCGAATTAAAGAATTTTCTCTAATTAATTGATTCCAAGCAAATTAATTATATTTCAATAAATGGATCATATTTTAATTTTATATTCGATTCGTAATTTCCACCATTTACGACAACGTGTAAGCTACACAGTACCAATTTTAGGGCGTTGTGGGGGTGCTTACCCTTCCCCGCACGTAACCGACTCCCGAATCCATTTAAATGAATCTTCGGTAACGCAGACCGAATTTTGTCTTAAAAAATGATTTTTCTTAAAATTGTTTTAAAAGACGTTTTTAGGTATTCGACCTACCTAACCCAAAGGTCGATGACGACTCCTATCCAATTTAATTTAAATCTAATCCAAAATCACTCAATTTTTTCAAATTAAAGTCATAATTATTTTTAAAAATAATATTAAATCATTGTTTTACAAAAAATGGTTATGACAGGATTGACTATACCTTGTAAGATATGATTAACTGTAAGTCGTTCTTAATTTGAAAAGAAAGCAATAATCTACACGCTGTGGAAATATAATTTGTGTAAAGTGTATTCGAGAAAACGGACTTGAATACTATTAGGTAAACTACACCTATGACCACTACGAAGGAGCTAACGTGGCAATTAATTTCTTTTGGATATTTATATATTTGATTCTTATTATTAACATTTAGTTTCCATTATTTAATTAAATGTATAAATAATGAAAACTAAATGTGAAAATATAAATTCAAATAAACTCTTTCATCAAATATTAACAGTAAATTACTTAATTGATAACATTTAAATAGTTAAATAATTTAATTGATAAAATTAAAAGATTATTAATCATAAAATTTACAATAATTAAGTGATTATGGGTGTAGATTACCCTTTCTTTTTTTGGGAGGGACAAAGAGAAAAATTACGTGCGACTGTGACACATCAATTATCATTAACGATTATGACAGGTAACAACAGTGATTGAGATGAAGGTGAATTAAAAATTTAATGAATCCAGTGCAAATTTTAAAAGTTAGATGAGTAAAATGCAAGCTTCCTAGAAGTTCAAGGATTCATTAGTATAGTTCACCCTAAATATTATTGAATTCCATTACATTTACAAAGAATTGCACTAGTTATCATTAGTGAATATTCACAATGAAAGAAAATGGAACAGACAACCACAAAACAAATATTGTAATACTGATATATACAAAACTAGTGTAA